TTTATGATTGCAGTAGTATCTATACATATAGCTATATACATTCTACTCACATGTTAGAGTTGTAGCCAATGTTAGAAAAAAAATTCGACGTAGTTAAATCGAGCCACTGACAAAGTGCACTGGTGTGAATTGCACAAATCTTTTGACTACGCAATAAGTCTATCCATAATACACGACTGTGATAACAGTTAGGATATAGTTCTACTTTGAAAAATACAAAATGATCAGTCTGAATCATCAGTGTTACTAGTTAAGTATCAATTAACAATTTTCAGTCTTGTGTTATTTTTAGAACGATTTTGGATGGAGTGACTTGTTTTGGCTATGTTTCCAGTAGTAAAACATTTCTCACACTGCTTACACTTAACAAAAATTCTCTTCATTTGCAATGTCAAAACCAAAAATAAAACAATTAAAGCAATATTTACTGTAAAGAATTGTTAAATAAGAATGCCTTCACAAACTAAACGCAACAACAACGCGGTACTGTATTGCGGGTATTGCATTGATTTTCAGCAGGCGTTATTAAAGGTTTTTTTTCTATAATCTCGTCTCAAAAAAATGTTTATCAAAATTAAATCTCGTCGTGTAAAACAAGATTAAAATTTCCCAAAAAGTTCTTGAAATTTCGAGACCCGTCTATCCTTAGTTTTGAGCAAAGGGAATTTTGGCGAGTATATTCGTCTACAGTGCGGTAAGGGTTAATAACACTCATAGAAGTTTTTAAGGCAGTCGCCAAGGCTTGTACCTTATTCTAACAACTATTTCATCTCCAGGCTTTGTTGAAAACTAATACAAAAAGTAAATATTTAATGAATAATGAATTAATTGAATTAACTCTTATACTACACTCCTGCTTTTAAACCAGCAACAAAAATTGCGGGGGTTTTACAAATACCCCTCCTGAACGGCTGAAGCGATCTGCATGAAATTTAGCACAGTCATAGTAATCAACCATGGGAAGGTATAAATCTGAAATGGTACAAATCGGACCACAGGGCTTTTCCCTGTGTGAATTTTAACTTTTAGAAATTTAACATGGGCCTTATGGGTTAATTGGTTGCCATGACAATATTTGCAAGATAACAATAAAAAGGTAAACAAAAGTTGTAACATGTGTTTACCAATAAATCATCTAAACTAGCACATTGCAAAATAGAGAACAAAAGGGAAGAACAATCAGATTGATACCGTTGAGCCTTTATTTGTTACAAAATGTATAACCAATAAGGATTATGAACCATTGGCTTTTGATGATACAAGTAGACATTTTTCATTTACGTGAACCAGACGTACAATTTACTTTGAATACTGTACACATACTGTACATAGGGATTCCAAATTATGTGAACCAAATATATCATTAACTTTGGATACAGCAATTAGATATTACATTAACCAGATGTACCAGATGCATTATTGACTTTAGATACTGGAAGTATAGATATCCCATTTACAAGAAACAGAGACATTAACTTTGGATACTTCAAGTAGACATTTAATATATTATGTAAACCAGATGAACTGTCGACTTTGATACTGCAAGTAGACTTCCGATTTACGTGAACCAAATTTATCATTAACTTTCGATAGGTACTGCAAGTAGACAATCCATTAACTTGAACCAGATGTGCCTTTGACTTAGGATACTGCAAGTAGACATGTAATTTATGAGAACCAGATGAACCATTGACTTAAGATACTGCAAGTAGACATTTCATTTACGTGAACCAAATGTACCATTGACTTTGGATACTTCAAGCAGACATTTAATATACAGGGTGTTTTTTTTTAAACTTGCATCTTTATTTATGTAAAAACCGCAATAGATAGAAATATGCAGTTTGCGGGAATCATCTATTGACGTAGGGGGACCAATTGTTTTGAATTCAACGTTACATTCACATTCCCCCCCTTCCCCCCCCCCTACCCCCAACTTAATTTTTTTAATTAGCAAGGTACCCCTTGTGACATATCAAATAAAAGAGCATGAAAAAAGAAAATGTTTGATGAAAGAAAAATTGAAAATCGGTTCATAAATTTGTGAGATATTCCCCCCTCACCCCCCGGAACTTAATTTTTTTTTTATAGCAAAGTACCCCTTGTGACATATCAAATGAAAGAGCATGAAAAAAGAAAATTTTGGCGAAATTTATCTTTCATTTGATATGTCACAAGGGCGGGTACCTTGCTATTAAAAAACAAGTTATGGGTAGGGGAAAAGGGGGGTAATTATCTCACAAATTCATGAGCCGATTTTAAATTTTTTTTTTTTTTTAAACAACCTGGAGGCGAGTTAGCGTAGCGAACGAGCTAACCTGAAGGCAAGTGAGCGCAGCGAACGAGCTCCAACCTAAAGGTGAGTGAGCGTAGCGAACGAGCTCCAACCCAAAGGTGAGTGAGCGTAGCGAATGAACTTCAACCTGGAGGCGAGTTAGCGTAGCGAACGAGCTAACCTGAAGGCAAGTGAGCGCAGCGAACGAGCTCCAACCTAAAGGTGAGTGAGCGGAGCGAACGAGCTCCAACCCAAAGGTGAGTGAGCGTAGCGAACGAACTTCAACCAGGACGTGATTGAGCGATGCGAACGAGATCATCTTGAAAATTAAACGTAACGGTACTTTCTTTCCATCGGTCTGTCCTAGGGGAAACCTATAACTTAGGCGATACGAAGTTCGCCGGGTCAGCTAGTATATATATAAATATTCTAGTAATTATTTTGTACAAATTATTAGTCTAATGGGTTACCGTGCCCTACCTTGAATTATCGTTTAACTTTTTTGTATTTGTATAATGTAATGTGTTAAATAATTATTAGATACATGCATAATGCTTTTTGATGTCTGCTCTGTTTAAAATACAAATTTCAAAAGACTGATCATGCGTGTGTTTATAATATAAACTTTCTAATCATAATACAACTCAGGAACATTTACAATGATATTCATGACTATTAATTAAATATATATAAATTTCTTTGAATATAGACAAATTCACTTAGATAAAACACAGATATAATGTCATCCTCCAAATTGTAAAATGCCAATTCTATAACAAAATCTCTCTGGAAACAGCATTTGTTGTATAGTATCCATTTTGGTCGATTCCTTGGTCTTTATTTGGTTCTAGTAGGGCCTACTATTTTAACGTCATCTGACCGATTTACCCAGCTAAAAGCAACATAAAGTTGACCATGGGTAAACACGGTTTTCCCTTTTTTCAAATAAATGCCACTTTTGTGAAGGTTTGACCTTGCCCTTTCATAATAAGTAATAGTAAAAGCTAATTTCGATGAATATTGAATCCTTGTAAACTTAAACGTAATATTAGGATCTGTAGATATTAGTTCTATTTTTGGCATAAAAAATATGTTCCCTTTGCCTACTCCAGTAATTACTTTTAACTTTACATGTTTTCAGACATACCGAACACAACCAATCATACTCCATTAACTAATCCAGGCCCTTAAAATTGGGAAAAAGTCTATTTCAGCTTTTTAATAGTATACATTACCATATGCTTTAAATAAAGTTAAACCACATGTTTTAAAGTAAACAAAGCAGACATGACGTAAATTCCCATGCTATTTAAATGTGAATTATTTTACTTCGTAACAACCTTTTGGTAAAAAATTAAGAAAAATGAATAATTTTCCCCAAAATTTCATACCGAGACCTTTAAAATGAGACCTCTCCCAGCTTTCTACGGCCTCCAGTTCGCTCACAATTTCATTGTAAAATTTTGGGCTTACGGAATTAGATATATAGATAAGAACAGAAAGACCATTGACTTTAGATACTGCAAGTAGTCATCTCATTAACGTGAACCAATTGTACCATTGACTTTGGATACTGCAAGTAGAGTAGACATCCCGTTTACGTGATATAAATGCACCATTGGCATTGGATTGACTTTGGATATCTGTAAGTATACTTCCCCTTTACGTATAACAAATGTAGCATTACCTTTGGGTTCTGCAAGTAAACATTCCATTATTTATGTGAACCAAACGTACCATTGATTAAGGATTCGACCAGGAGACGTCTCATTTACATGAACTAGATTTAGCATTGACTTTGGATACAGTAAGTAGACATTCCATTTACATATAACAGCCGTAGCATTGACTTTGTTGAAATTGATTAATATACTTGCTCCGCTCAATATTGCAAGCATACAACTGCATTGCACACCTAGTTTTAAATAAAGTTAAAACAGATAATTTAAGGATATTGGAAAAATATATATAAAATATTCATAGAAAAAATAATATTTTGAATTTTGAATATATTACAATGTTTTTTTATGTAATTGGTTTCAATAATTCAGAGTTAATAATTGGGGGGTCTTCATTATTAAGCAAATAATTTTGATCTGTTTTTTTTCTCTATAAAATAAGATTCCGATGCATTAAGAATGAGATGTTGAGGTTTCATAATTTTTTTTAAGGTTTTCCCAAATTGAAAAAATAATTTGTATTGATACTATGGCTAGCTTTAAAGATTTAATCTAAACTAGATTTAAAGAACACCAAGTTGACAATATGGAATTCAGTCAGGATACTTTTAATACTTTACTTTAATACTTTTATCTGAAATGGCGACCATACGATGGTAGGTATTTTAAGTCAATTATGAATGGAGATGAGAGTAGGATGAGTGGGGCAATCTTGTAGTTTTGTTACCGACTAATGCCGACATGTTCTTTAGGCAGAACTGTTAATTAATATATATTAATTAACTAAGGTCTACACTCGTAACACCCCCTATAAGGATTAACCTAGCTTAACTGAAAGGGAAACCTATTGTAAATCATAAAATGTTTTATTGAAAACCCAACAATCACAAAAATTGTGGGATAAAATAGAATGTTGGTAATGAACTCTGTGAGAGTCTCGGTGATTTTCGAATAAAAAATTGACTAAGGGGTTCATAGATAGAACATACTTCAGTATCAAAAAGTTAGGAAGAAAATAACAATGATTCTCGTTCTCTGTCACTCACCCGTGCTCGGGACTTTTGAATGGTTTCCCGTTGGTGGTGTAGGTCCCTCATCACTTGTGAACCGATCTCCTCAGTCTCCAGCAAGATCTGGTATCCGGTGTTGAGTTGGTTTCCGGATCTCTCTAATCGCTCCGAGTTATCCAACAACCTCTGTTTTTGTTCTTCGTTCAGACTCACAGCTTCCGCATAGTGGTCTGCTGAATCACTGAAATCTGCAACAGATTGAATGAATGAATGAATTATTTCTTTATTCCAACAAATTATTACAGAATATGTACACAAATATTTAAAGGAAGAAAAAAAACATAAGTGAATTTAAAAGAATAAAATAAAATTAACCTTTACATTACATCTATGTTAAAAAAAGCGTACATGCTAATAGGGAATAAGCCGGCATGGGCAGCGAGCCTGTGCGTCGACTGTAGTTGCGTCCAAACATAACATTTTTTATCAAATGCAATAAATAAATAAATGACAGGAAATATGATGAGGTGAAAATATGATGTAAATGGAGTTACAAGAAAAAAAAATTAAAATTGTGAGATGAATGGCTATGTGAAAAAATATTAGGTGGCATAACTAAGTTTAAATGAAAATAAATGAAATGTAATAGTGACAGGTAAATCTACGGCTTTCAAAGTGTTTCTAGAGGGGTGGGGCGGGCGGCGGAGAACGAGTCAGGGTACAATGGTCAGGTCGCATGTCGTGTCAGGAGCGTCTGTGTCTGTAATCAGCTGCGATGATAAGCTCAGCCTCGTCCCCGCCTAGACCAAGTAACCACTCATTGACACGACGTTTGAATATGTTTAAAGTGGGGGAGTCAAAGAGATTGCATCAAGGGTTAAAACATTAAAATTCTTTGCTAAAAAGTAAAAAAAAAAATTTGTTACGTTATGACACTATTTTAAATTAGAGTACACCAGAAGAGGTTGCAACTGAATAACAGGAGATTTTATATAGGTAATATGTTCCAAGAGAGTAAAATACAACAATATTAGCTTTTACAGGTAAAATTTTCCAGTAACAAACATTGGAAAATCCAGAGATATTTTTTACCTGTGAGGTTTTTCTAGGTTTAAATCACATTGGGTAGACAGATTTGGAGAAGGATTGTTTATTTGCCACAATTATATGATGTGGTTTTACTCAGGGTTGCAAAGAGATCACCCTCTAGGACACAGAAAACATACTACTATAACCACATAAGGTTATAGTAGTATGTTTTCTGTGCCTCGGATCGCTTGTAGTTGTAAAGTCGTGTTTACACGATGCCAGTTGGTGGGCAGGATACTGGCCTCATATAACTTGAAATACATTAGAGGCAAGTAACTTGCCAGATCTACTGGCCTGAGGCTAAAGGCGGTTCAAGGGTTTGTTAGGTTATGCAATTAAAACAATCTGAAAAGATTAACCTAATTCAAACAAATCAAATTGAATAAAATTCTATTGAATATCAAGGGGAAAGCAGCACAATGAAAGCTTACACTCTAAGCTATCTAAACTTGCCTAAGTAGAAGGAAGTATTTATTTAATAGGTAACTACTTATGGCTACGGTATTGTTGAGAACAAGACTACAGAATTAATCCTACCAGTGTCGATTAGCTAACTTTGATAAACTCATCTAGCATTGTGGGCCCAGCTTGCTGTAGGCCTATGGCAAAGTATTCCGAATGACCAACACAAACCATATTATTTTAGCAACACATTAATTGACTAAGATCAACATTGTTTTATTGCTGTAGCCATACTTACTATCAGAATGTGTAGCAGAGCGCGCTCTCTTGAATTCTTGTTGTAGACGACCGAGTTCCACCCGATAACTTTCTAGCCTTGTCCTCAGTCTCGGCTGTTCCGAAGCCTTCATCTCTCGAACCTCCAAGTCCATCTGTTCCAGCTAACACGCAAAACTTGTTAAACACAAAGATGTGAATTCAGTAATCAGTGATAATGATTTATTTAGGTTAAAATGGTTTAAATACCTGCATTCCTTACAATCATTTTTTGCTGTTGTGGCAGCTAGTTTCGGTTCTTAATATAGGGATAAAAATTAGTTTTTCTCATTTTTTACCCTCAAAACATGACATTTCCCAATTTTCCTCTAAACCATTTTGAATAACTTAAAAAAAAATAATTTAGTGAGCCATTGAAAAGTTTTTATGCAATTATTAATTACAGGAAGAATTAAAAAAATTGTAAATTTTAAATTCCCATGTTATTCTTACAGGTACCGGTAACTGTTACAGTTTCCTTGTTTATGGATATATTTTGACCATATTTAACAAAAAGCTTAACAAATTCATTCATATAATATAAATCTAAGCCAATAATATTTTACTAAAAAGACCATTTAGGTTTGCTGCGGTGGGGGTATTGGGAAACCATACTCACATAAGCATTATAACAGATACTTAGAAGAACACCTTACTTATAGCATTGTCTATTAAATTAGTGGGGAGTATCTGTTAGCAACTATTACATTACATATCAGTAAAACCCCTCATATCCGGCCACCACGGGACCAAGCCCCTGGCCGGATAACAGTTTAGCCGGATAAACCAACCTACTATGAAAATGACAATTCATACCTAATAATAATATATAATCAATTTATACAGTCAAAAGTGTCATTCAAGTCTGTTCTGAGATTATTTATTTATTTGTAGGTTAAAGTCCTTAAGTAATAAACTTACAAATATTATGATTCCAGGTTTAACAAAAACTATTAGGTAATAATGGAGGTAAAAATAACAATAAATTAGCCTTGAAGACCATTAGGACTTAAATGGTACATACATTTCTACTCAACTTTCTTATCCATTTTGTGAAATGCAAAAAAATATGTACTGCACTAACCCCGCTTTGGAAATAATCAATCAACTGTTCAGAGGTTAGGCCTACTAGCTCAACTGAGTATAGTGACACAGTAAAATGTATAAACAAACAGATAAATACTGTGGTGAGAACGCTCAAGTCACAAAGACTAGTGCTTGCATCTAAACGTTTCTAAGCTGTGAGAAAAACAATTTGATATTTGCTTCCTAGAAGAGGTTGGATAAACAGAGGACCGGTAAAACCAAGCCGGATATCAGAGGTTCTACTATGGGCCTAATAGACATTGACATTTGGAAAATCAATATTTAATTGCTGAACTTTTTTTATTTAGGCCTCATGAACAAAGAAGCTTTAAAATGGTGCATTTTACAAATTTGAATGTAAATTAAATATGAATAAGAACAGTTTGTATCTTTACCAGCTCGTTGCATTCCTCCAGATGTTTATCTAACTCTGATACAAGATTTCTTTTTTCACCTGAAAACCAAATGAAAATAATAATTACTAACAAAATCATCATTTATTTAACAAATAATAAAATACTAGAGCCCAAAGTATGGTGTGTAGAACCATTGACTATTGGCAAAGGTGGAACTGTCTGATCCACAGAACAATGAGGTTCGTTAGTATATTATTCTTGCTGGTTTACATAAATACAGTATGTAGAAATGTAAATGCTAAAATTGTCTGGTCATATACAGTGTACTGATGTTGTTTAGTTTAAGAAAATACTAGAGATTGTCCAGTGGTCGAAAACTTGACCAAAAATATGTAATGTACAGACTTCTCTATTTTCACCCAACGCTGTAAATAGAACATGTGATAGGGATTTCTTTTGAAAGTGTCTTGAAAAAAGCATTTCGTATCAAGGGCTGTTAAACAATTTTGCCTATGTGGCAACATGATGTGAATGCCGTCGTATCACGTTGTGTGGCTTCGGACCGGACGTGTTTCACATAGCAATATCTTCATTCTAATTTCATAAGTCCAATGTATGAGCCAAAAAACTACCGAGGCACTTCTCTTATGCACAGTTAAAATTACAGTATCTATCAAATTCGGTATAATAACTACATCTTGTTGATTAATTCTCATATTATAGAGACGGTTACGGTTTCTTCTTTCTGCCCAGCCAGAATGTTCGCCGTAGAGGCATTTCAGAATGATACTTGAAAGTTACTCAAGTTTATAATAAACAAATACAGTAAAATGATCAAAACTTCACTAAACAAAAAGTAGGCTAAGTATTAATCGGACATATCACACAATACACAATCAGTGCAAAATCAGACTCACCACCAATGAGAAGTAAATTTGTTTATGTTATTATTTTGATTTTATATTTTAGATGATGATTGCTTTTACAGCTGGTGAAAATGCCACAAAACAAATATTATTAATGTACACACGCCAACGTGGTTTGCAGCCCATTTATACAGTACACATTTTATAAGTATTAGTCCAGTCAAGGAATGAGCATCGATGTATAATAACTCCGTGGATTGCGCGCTCAGGTTGAAGTAGGGCTCGAAAAACGGGCCGTCGCTACCTCGCTCTGTCCACCAGGAGTGGAGATGAAGGCATGACTCACCCTAGTGGCGAGCGTCGCGCCCGCTCTCGACGTGTATTCCTATGTTAGTTTTGTAGAAATATTCTGAGGATAATTGATTGTAACGAACTTAAGGAGGTTTTATAAGCATATATAATTAATCTACATACTTGCTCACACTTTATAGTCAAAAGTAAATCTCATAAGAAATTTAGTTATGTTATGAAAGAGTTAGATTTATTTATATTTTTTGAACATTGACCAGAGCAAAATATATCACAATAATTATTCGATCGCATAAGCATGTCATCATTTGCTGCTGTGAGGCCCAATTATTATTATTATTATTATAGACTGGGACGGGTGGCATCGTCCTGTAATCCAGATACTAGGAGGTCACAAATTGTGGATATTTATAGGCAAGCACTGTGGATGCGATACTCCCTGGTGTGGATTAGCGTCCGTTAAGCTTTCTCTTACAATAATTCAATAATTTTCAAACTTATAAACCATCTAGAAGATCAATGTGGCAACAGCGCAGAGACTTGGCAACGTCGCAGTCCAGGAAGAGAAAGCTCTAACATCGTAAACTCACCCCCATCCCCTGACCGACCAAACATACCTCCTCAAGCCAGTTGTCAGTCAAATAGTGACACATGTAGTGCCTCCGGTCCACGCATTTGTTCGCGCCCTGTGTTCCTATGACTTTACCGTAAATCGTCATCCGACCGAAAATGTAAATATTTGTAAATAGTGTTTGTGTTAAATAGCCTAATGTGACAAACTGTGCTCCTGACGATGCAACACATGTAGCAAAATGTACATCGAGCAAGATATCTACACATTTCAAGAATCTGGCAACCACAAGGTAAACTAGTTTATTAAAAGTATATAATGTGTTTATTTTGGTTAAACAATTTACAAGTTATTACTAATTTAATTAATATCTTATTAAAATACTCCTTCCATAAGAAATACATGTAGCCTAAATTAGTATGCAAAATGGGGCAAATCCTATCCGCCGAAAGGAAATATAACCAATATTCTGGAAATCTTATTAAAATATCCAACAATTTGACACTTAAATAATAACATGTTGACAAAAATTAAAGTGAGTGTGAGCCTTTGAAAACGGGTTGATATGAGGGGTTTTTTATAATCTATCTGTATATATAAAATCCAATGTATGTTTGTTTGTTTGTTTGTTTGTGTGTTTGTCCTTTATGGACTCCGAAACCGCTTGACAGATTGTACTGAAACTTCCAGGCATTATTAAGTCATTATTCAATGATGGTTTGTGTGAAGTTTGGTGCAGATCCGTCAAAAGAGCTCCACCCCAGTGGCTCTGGAGTTTCCCGTGTTAACCTTATGAGTACTCATATTTAAATGGAATTAAAGAATCTTAACAGCTGGTTCAACTAAACAATTTGATTCTGTGATGTTCAATAGCATTAAAAAGTCAATAGATTTACCAACAGGGTGCAGCACTATTATTTTTTTAAACTTATGACAACAGCTAATTTGCAAGCAAAAGGTGAGTGAGCGCAGCGAACGCGCTACAACCAGAACATGATTGAGCCATTCGAACAAGCTCATCTTGAAAATGAACGAGCATTTGACATAAAACCACATTAGGACAGGGTGACGTCTGACGGGCCAGCTAGTTCTTAAAAAAAAAACACCAAAACATGACATTTTTGTTACCTCGCCCTCACCTTAATTTTGGATAAATTTTTATGATTAAAGTGTCAAATTACTGGAAATGTTGTCAAGATTTCCAGAATATTGGTTATATTTCCTTTGGGCGGATAGGATTCACCCCATTTCGCATACTAATTTACATGTATTTCTTATGGAAGGAGTATTTTAATAAGATATTAATTTAATAAGTAATAACTCAATCTGTTTAACCAAAATAAACACATTAGGCCCATATACTTTTCTTGTAGAAAATTTAATTTTCTTCAATTTTATAATCTAGTATAGTATACAAAAAGTTGATGGTTTTCGAGATATAGTCGAAAAACCCAAAATGCGTACCTTTACCCCCTCCACCCCCTGGCTCAGCACCAAGGAGTCAGGACTTTTGTTATGTTAACACCCTAAGCCCCCTGAACAAGTCTCTGAAGGAATCGTTTAGTTACCTACTCACGCACTCTACACCCACTTTTGGATCATTTATTGACTGGACTATATACATGTGATTGGAATTCTTTAATTTGTTTTGATTTTCTGTTTATATTGCGTTGTTATTTCGTCACCAGCCTGGCAACCCATAAGCCCCATGTTAATTTTTTTAAATTTCAAATTAATTTTTTGTTCTTATTTTTGAGCCTATTTTAATTTATAAAGGGATTCTGCACACCTACAGGAAAACATTATTTCTAACAGTATGCGTAGATTTTTTTCTGTGTTGCGCGTGAGCTGAGAAAAAAGGTTTTGATGAAACATGCTTGCCTATTAATCTATAGACTAGAGGTTGTCCAGTGGTCGAAACTCGACCAAAAATATGAAATGTACAGACTTCTCTATTTTCACCCCACACTGTAAATAAAACATTTCTTCAATTTTTGTTTTTATTTTCTTTTTATATTTTGTCACCATTATGGGCAACCCATAAGATCAATGTTAACTTTTTCAAAATTTTCAATTCATTTTTTGTGCTTATTTTAGCCTATTTAAATTTATAAAGGGATTCTGCACATCTACAGGAAAATATCTTCCCAACAGTATGCGTAGATTTTCCCTGCGATACACACGAGATGAGAAAAAAGGTTTTAAAGAATCATGCTTGCCTATAGATAGATACATAGATTTCAAATTACGGATTTTCCTTTTCACAAATAGAGCATTGAAAACGTTTGCTTTTATCTAGATAAACAATTTTAATTTTTTTACATTTTCCACCTGTACATATTAAATGTACTTTAGAACAACTTGTTCAAAACTCAGGGGGCGGGAAATTTATTTTTAACTAGGCCTAAAAAGACTTTAAAATAGCCAAGAAAACTTTGGGGCATGATGAGTGTAAACAATTGATCAAGTGAATAATTCCTGTTTATTCACCTGGTTAAAATTCAACTTTTCAAGGAGTAAAATTTGTAGGAAGTTTACTGTAATAAAAAGGATTCTGGTTGACTTTGGAGTACAGTTAATTGATCAGCCTCTTAGATTTAAGAACACAATCAAGTTTATGTTATTTTCATTGTAAGAGTAGGTTTACAAGTTAACATTGAAAAACTAAGCATTAAGTATACATACTGTAATGCAGAGTGCGTAGTTCTTGTTGTATCAATTAAATCCATTTATTTTTATGGTAACTTAGGTCTATTTAAATGTTTACATTAGTGTCAGTTTTAATGACTTTTTGTAAGATTACCTGACCTGACATAGACCTAGTCCCATGGAATGATGGAATAAGGTGGACTCCTTGACCATGAGAAAAATGTAAAGGGCTACAAATTCAATGTAAGTTAACTTAAATTTAACTATTCTCAAGTAGAAAAACGTTTAAATGAAATGTAGGTCCTAATGAACATAAGTTATGTTTGCAGTAGCCTACCTACATATTATACATAGGGATGTTGCGATACTATCGATACCAGTAGGTATCAATACTTTTATTGCAATACTGCTGGTATCGTATCGGTATCGGTTGTTCCGATATTTACTTGGTATCGATACCAAGAGGCCAGTATCGTATCGTAAGTATCAGAAGGTAATTTCTGACAAATCTGAGTAAAATGGCCAAACTCGTGCCTTCTGAGCCGTTATTTTCCAAGGCTGGAGCAACAGTGACCAAAAGAAGAAACAAACTTTAACCCAATTAAATATTTTTTTTTTCTATAGCTTGTCTGATATGTGGTTTGAGTAAATTATGATTCACTTTTCATAGAACTTTACATAACTATAAGTAAAACCATTGACTATATATACCTACAGACGTATATTTAGTCAATGATACAACTTAAGGGTTTAGTTGCAGAGTTATTTTTGTTACAAGTCAATGTTAGCAACGTTGTGAGTATAATAAAATGAAACCATGGACTATTTAAGATCAAATAAACTAAAAAGATGACACTTAAAGTTATTTTACTAAAAAACTTTTTTTTATTTAGGCTGATGGTAAACACGAATGTGTTACGTGGTAATTTAATAACATTGTCTATCAAAAAGATAAATTATATAGGCCTAGAACTTAAGGTAAGCTTAGGCCTACTTGAACTTATACTTGAAGGTAAAATTGAAAACAATCGTTGGTTATGTTTGGTTAGTTTTATCAATGTTTTAGCCTACATATTTAGGTAGTTTTTAGCAGCTTGAATTCAAATCCTATATTGGCTGCACTGTACTGGAACGAGTGAACTTTAATCGAAGATCAGTGAATCAGAATATGACGTCACTGGTATCGAATGGATACGATACTGACGGTATCGATACTTTAGTTCCGATACTGAGCCGGTATCAATACTTTTTTGTGATACGGTATCGATACCAAATATCGGAAAGACAGTGGTATCGCAACATCCCTAGTTAGACATATGGCAACTAACTACCAGTACTGTACAAATGGTAACTTAACCTATATTCTAGTAAAAAAACATTAAACTTATTGAGCTATGGGCTGGGCTACTATTTAAACACCAATATAGGTACATTTTACTGAAAGAATGTGCTAGTCTAGTGAAGATCTATTTTAGCCTAGATCTAAGTTGGAGATGTAAGTTATATCTGAGTCATACAAAAACAATTAACATGAGTCTTATCAACTTAATAAGAGATGAAAACACGGGTTGAAGTGGAAATTAGTTTTTTTTATTCCTTTAGGAGCCTATTAAAAATGCGGTGCCGATCCCCAAAGTTTATAAACTAAAGTGGGGATTATAATCTAAGTAATTTAACCCATGTTTGAGGTTATGTGACTAACTTGCAAGAGTTTGGCAATATTTAAATCTTACTTCCTGACGTTGAGGGGAGTTTTCCAATTTTCGAAGTAATATCCGCAGTTAATACTCCATATTGTTGCTCATACATTTCAATCAGCAAAGCCATTATTACAAGTTACACTGTACTATTATTAAAAAATGACGTTTTATTTACACCTCTCCTCTATCTTTCAATCAAAACATTAGAGTAGAGTTGACACTCCGTTTCGTCGTCTGCCAGGACAGCAAAAAAGAAAAGGAGATACCGTTATATACGACCATCTCGCCACAGTAATAAACCCTACCTACTTTTTTTAAACTGCAACTGTTACATTTGCGTGTCGCTCTGTGGAACAGATTGGATTGGATTGGATGTAACCGTTCCTGACAAAATAGTCCCCTCGTCGATATCACCACGCCACCTTTAAAGGCGGCCGTGCTGACTACCATAGATATAAAAACATACTATCCCTTTAGTAGATGTCTCATCCTTATGGAACAGCTGAGAGCTCAAGCCAATTTTATTATTGTTGGTTCTGCCCGGTGCACTGTTACAGGACGTGTTGTTTAACAATTTATTTCTTGTTATTTCAGTCATTTAAGCATTTGTTTAGCCAAATAAAACTACATTACCATAACCAAATAACTAATAGCGTGTACCCTAGTTATATAACCAAACAGAGAATAGCACAAATCATGAAATTAACCCTAAAATTATAGAAACAAAATTTAGTAGACACTAACTTAGTGGTCAGTGTCACCGGACATGAACTAATAGACCCGTAAAACGAGATCCAAATTTACAATGATGAGAAGTCCACTTTTGTTGGTTAGTCTCTGTACCTACTACCATTGTATTATATTATACTAGTTAACCGCCCGTGCTCCGCCACGGGAGTCAGCAATAAAAGAAAAAGAAATAATAATCAACAAATACTGTTTATCTTTGTATTTTATTTAGGGGTTTTTTAATTTTTTACATGAAATAGAACTGATAGTTTGCCTGTATAAACTATTTTATGTTAATCAAACCGATATATTATTTTAACCAAATTAATGAATGTTTTATATTAATTCGAGTTTCATTTCAAAAATAAATAGTATACGAACTGGGCAATGCTGATAACCTAATAAGCAGCTATTTATGCTATTTAGATAATTTGCTCAAGTATATTCCTATATTCGTCGTTTTTTTTTATTACATCTGTTGTATGGAATAAAGATAGTCACTTAGCCTACATGTAAATCACGCATCAGCAGTTGGTCGCATTTCACGAATCTTTGACCCATTCTGTGAGTAAAAGCTGTGTTTACGTCGTATATATATAAAGTTGGGCATACTTTGTTCAATGTTAGAGGGTAGATGGTATTAACGGTCCAATTGTGGCATACTTTGTGCCACACTTTGGTGATCTGGTCATGTGATTCAAGTTCCAGACCAAATCGTTCTTGTTGGAAACGTTAACTGAACGCATTATTTAATACAGAGGAGATAATTTACCGCAATTCACAGGCCCTAAGAGCCAGCTTTGATGAGAGTTTGATTAATTAAGCCATTATAACACTGAAATACGTGGATTGTTCAACTTATTGAATATTAAAGTCAACTAGACACAACGTGAACTAACTAACATTTGAATTAATAATCAACAATAAATGACGGAATGAATGAAATAGTGAATTTGACTAGATGATCTGAAATTACATATTATTAAAATACTATTACTACGACACAATACCTCAAGGGGGCGTCCCCCCATATACCAACGAATTTACCCTTCCATTCTTGAAGACAGCAGACTCACGACAATCGCTTTCGCGACGTCTCTCCCCATACCCCAACGTGCGCATGCGCGACCACAGAGTCCTGGTGACGTATGATGGTTTGAAAGTGGCGGGCTATTTAAACGATAGTGGATTGATCTCCACACAATTTGATGGAAAAGGAGTCGTGGATTTTAAAACTATGTAGACTACCACTGCCAGAAAGATGTTGATTCAAGTGAGACTTAGAACTGGTCATTTCAAATGCAGATTTGTATTAAATTTTACTCAAATAGTTTTTTGTCTCTTTTGACCCTTAATACTTTTTTTATAGTCGCTGTTGATAAGATTTTCCATAAACTCAAAATGTTGATAAGGAGTTCATTTTACCTTCCCATTGTGACAACATAAGGAAAAAATATTTGTGTCCCAGTTAGTCTGTTCTGTCTCAAAATTCATAGATTTGCAGTACTGACAAATCCAATCTAACGACCCCAATTCAAAAAAATTGGTATTTTTTAGAAGGGACTTCCAGAGCACATTTAACACCATCACTGCTCTTTACCTTTTTAGTTTGATGGTTCTCTACATATTTTTTCGTTCTGTATGTCTCTTTATGCCCGGTTAATGATTACCTTTTCTTTTTCTTTTTGTACTTTTCACATCCTGGGGTTAATGATAAAGTTTTATAACGCTATAATGACCCGAGTCAACATTGCCATTAAACATCAAGTCAGATACTTCTTCGCCAGAACCGAAATCGTAATTGTAAGTCACAGTTCCTCTAGCAACTTCCCTGTGTACGCCTACACGAAAAAATATAGTTAGGGTATAGTTCACTGATAAATTGTAGTTCCAAATATCCCAGCGTACTCGCCATCTCAAGAAGGTAAAATTTGGACGTCGAACACTGATCTTGAGTAAGATTAATCACTTACGATAAATGTTTGTATGTTTACCAACCAATCATTAGCAATTATCTGTACAACTTGCAAGCGGATTTCCCTATGATTGTTCTGGTGGCTATAGAGAATAAATTATATTGATCAAAACAATAAGTTTCCGTCCCCTACTATGGATTATGTCACATTCCATACTCAAACTTAAACTTAATTACCCCTTTCCTTCAGATCACTTTGCAGGAAAACTAAAACATTTCAAAAATAAGTTAACAAATACACTTTCCTTTTTTATTTTTTTTTTATTTTTACCATTTGGTGTATCTCTAGTACAAATGGACTTTAATGTGATAATTTGCATGTTACATAATAAAACATTAAAAAGGTATGTTCCACGTCATCGGGAATGCCTGGGCAGTATATGCAATCGGGTGACACGGCTTTGCCCATCTTGAACAGGTACGACCGGAAAAGGCCGTGACCCGTCAGAAATTGGGTGAGGTAGAAGTCCACCTCTCCGCTCCGCCGATTAACCCAAGGTTGGACTTGCTGTATCAGTCGCCTGGTCCAGCGTCCCCGAGTCTCCTGTTCCCAGCTCTCCTGCCACATCTGGTAGGTGCGGGTGCGTTCTTCTGTTCGTGCCTGGTCCTCCCCACGGCGCCGATAAATTGCTTTTCTCTCCGCCGCCAAAAGTTTGACCGGGATGACTCCAGCAACCACCTGGACGGCGGGTTCGGACACTGTTCGGTAGGTGGATGCAACTCTTAGTGCTGCCTGACGCTGCACTCAGGCGAGCCGCAGTGACCACGGCTGAATTCAGTCGGGAACGGATCAACTTCTCGAGGACTTTGCCAGCCGTATCCAACATACACAGAGGTCTGTAAGAGGATGGCAGGTCTGGGTCTCCCTTCCCCTTCCCAACAAGCACGAGCCTAGCTGTTTTCCAGTACGAGGGGAAAACTCCTTCGACTAGGCAGGCGTTGTACATGCGCAAAAGGATCAAGGGGTACGTCATCCACCCTTCCAAAATCCCGCAGTGGGCGTAACGTGTGAGCCGGGAAAAGGGACTCGACTATCCTCTCCATAGTGGCCCCATCCATGACGGAAGGTGGAGAGCGGGTGCCAAGTTTCTTGGTTACAAGTTTGTAACCCAGGCCCCACGGATTGGAATCGATATCGTCCCTTAATGTCTCCCAACAACTGCGTTTACTCCGGTTGATGGCTCGACAAAGAGACCTTCTAGCCACTCTGTAAGCATCCGACTTACGACGTCTGTCTACAGGTTCTCTGGCCCTGGTAGCAAGTCTTCTGGCTCTCAATGCTGACCGACGCAATTCTGCAATCTCGGCAGTCCACCAGTACACAGGTCGCTTATTGCAACGGGATCTCCTGCGAGGCATAGACTCATTGCAAGCCGAGACGATCAGTCCCATCATGGATGTAACTAACGCCTCTGCGTGAGCCACGCTAGTTGCGGGGGGAACCACCGGTGTTCCTCGTAAGATGGCTTCATTGAATTTTGCCACGTCCAATTTTTTAATATTCCATCGAACGGGCACTTGACGAAACGCGGCTACTTGTTTCTGATGACCATCCAGGACATCAAAAATAATGTACTGGTGGTCACTGCCCGTGTAATCCTCCAGGACTCTCCAGGCTCTGATCCTTGGCAAAAAGGACTCATATGCAAGGGTTATGTCTGGGATCGTTCCCCGCATCCCAGGGCGCCGGAAAGTTGGCGTGTTTCCCTCGTTGACGACAACGAGTCCGTCTCTGGCAGCAAAGTCCAGAATGTACTTGCCCCGGGAATTGGTGAGGGTCATTCCCCACTCGACAGCCCTAGCATTAAAATCCCCACCCACGATGACGTGTCCTGTGGTATTGCGCACGCTCTCTTCCAGGCGGTCTATCTTCTCACGAAATTCACAGATGGTCTCGTCGGGAGTGAGGTAGACACTAAAGTAAGTCACATCCCGGCACCAAACCCAAACGAAACCTCGGCCCTTCACGTGACCCCGTACTTGTACTTTCGCTGCATTACGCGCCCAGAATGCAGCAGTACCAAGACTATCAGGGAACCAAAAAGATGGATCCCTATCACGGTACTGGTACTGTTCGCTGACTAAGAGCGCGTCGACATCGTGTTCTAGGGCAAGCTGACATAGAAGTGCGTCAGCCGACCTGGATTGCTCAAGATTGCACTGAAGGATTCTTATCCTCAATTTGAGATACTGGGTGGCATGAATATGGAATACAATTCATGCCTCCAGTTATCTCTTTATAAATACTAACACAAGAGCTGAATGATGGTACCATAAGGAAACTAAGAAGAAAGAGTGTATAAAGGGGAAAAAACTAACTACATTTAGACAAGTGAGTTTTAGAACAATTTATTGGATAATAAAAATTTATATTCCAGACACTTCACCAGTATACAAAAGTATTAAGTGATTTTCCTGCAACGGTTTGGTTGGCAAATCCTATCTTCGGGTCGATAATTATTATATTTACAGGCTCAGATCTCCTAAAAATGAAAGACAGACAAATAAATGTAAATTACACGTTATCATAGATAAATTTTACCTATGACGTTATGCAAATTTTACAACTCAAAAAGTTAGTAAAAAGTGGCAGTTCCAAAGGGGGGGGGCAGTTCCAATTGGACCCTGTAAATATAAATTTAAACACTTCGTCAAAAAGACATAGTGGAGGCTTTTTGGACACAGTTCTAGATGTTAAAAATGGTGTTAAAAGTTACTAAACGCCTTTTTTAGAGGGATTATTAGCAAATTGTCAAAATATTAATAACCTTAAAAATATTATCCTCTATAGGAATTAATTTCTACACTCAAGTAAGGGTAGAGGAAAATACCTATCATCCTTGGCCTACAACAAATCACTAAATCAACAAATTTCTATAGAGACTGGGACAGAAGATTTCAACCTGTTTACGAGTGAAGGTTAAGTGTGAAATGGCTTGTGTGGCTTTATCATCATGACTAAGACAAAAAAGCTGTTTATTTCACACTGGAAAAAATTATGAAAAGTATAGTCTAGGATATAATAATAGTTCAGTTTAAGCTATCAAATACTGAATTTATCAAGTTCAAACTGTGTCTTCATGGTTGTATGTGAACACTATGATACATTTTAATTTATTGTTGTAGTGTTTCCGGACTCATTAACTACTGGATGGATCCAGTACAATAAACTTGGATCACAAGGCGACAACAGAGGTATAATTTAACCATTTGTTTACTCTAACCAAGCTATTTAAAAATATCAAACTAATTTATCAAAATATCAAACTAATTTATCAAAAGAGTACTTACGGGTTGTAGACTACGACAGAGTAGCTTCCATCTGGGTTGGATGAAGCCAAAGCCATAACTGAGGTGGCCGGAGGAATGGGTTTTCTGGTGGGAAACGGAGTGGGAGAAGGAGGTGGCGAAGATCTCACAACGTCAATAAGAACATTATCTCCCGCATTAACCTGTCTCCTCATGATTCTTTGCCCATCAAATTCATAATCAAAATAATCTCCAGCTTTGAAAGGTTGATTGATAGTAACGTTGATACTCTTAGATCCTGGAGGAATAAATTTTGAAAAATGTCCCATGACATAGAACAGCGGTTGCTTGTAGAACTCTCCGCTCGTCTTGTTGACAATGACGGCAGCGTCCAGGGTCAGGTTGGCAAACCCTGTGGGGCCACCTTGGTCATTCAATGCCATGTTATAATCAATGTAGCACACTGCCCAGTTGTTCAGGTTCTAAAAAACAAAAGAATTCAAATTTCGAGGTCAGAAAAAATTTAGTGTTAAAATTTATTAATTCAAACGGAACACAGGTGTAGAAGAGTAAGTCGAATACACAATTAAATTAACAACTATTGTAAAAGCTTGTTTTTTTTATATTGTTTCATTTATAAAAATTCTTACTTCTCCAATAATATAAAGGAGCAACATAGTTTAAGCAAGTTGACAAGCTAATAGTTATTTTCGGGGGCACAAAACCAAAGATTGTAAAATTTTCTGTAAGTTAGCAATGAGTAAAAAAAAATTAAAATGCAACAAAAATTCTCTGCTTGAAACCAACTTGTTAATTACAGGGCAAAAATGTGGTTCAGATTCCACTATAAACTGTAGGTCCCTTATAGTTGTCATTAGCTGTATGGGCTATTGATTAACAGCTGTGTCCACGGAACATGTCGACCTTAGCAAATCCATGGCCTTGACCTTATAGTCACTAACAAGACTACAAGATCGTGCCACTCATCCTTCAATCATATTTGGGTTAAAATATGCACATAGCTAGTGGCGTTTCCATCTTAAATAATTGATAATTGAACAGGCATAACTTTTTTTTATAAGAGCCAATTCCTACATGCAACATGCCTAACATAATTTTATAAAAAATACAGCAATTCGGTGGGTTTGGGTACGTGTCACTATTTTTTATCAGTAGAGTTCACCTCTACACAAGCAGTCTCGGTGTGCGGTTCTGTCTCTACTAGCCGTCCTTTGTACATATCACCCACCCCCCTCCACCACACCTAGCCACGAAGACAGCTACAACCCCAGAGCCGGGGTGGGCCAGATGTTTTTGGAAATGAGCAATAAACACTCCCCCCTACACCCTGGGCCCTAGCACGGCCAGACTATATGCAACTAATGTATTGTAGCGGCTCACCCTGTATTGTAGCTTTGCTGGATACACTTCACACATAGGCCCAAAGCCTTTGTGGATGTGCAAGTATAGGGTTAAAAAACCAGCAACCTCTTAAAATATTATTCCGTGCCACATAATATACAATAGATTGTCTCTGAAATTCTTTTACTTGATGTGCCACTTGTATCTTGTTAAGAGAACACCAAACAATTTTAAGGTAAAAGCAGTCTAAATCTCCTCTTTTTTATGTGCCCCTCCCAAACATAAGTCTCTTGACTAGGAACACACTATAATTCCAACTTACTGTAAGGATACTCTCAATATACATCCTAGCTCTGTCCCAATCACCCAACTCTACAGCATGTCCACCTAAGAACAGATGGGTGAATTGAATTATTACAGTAAGTTATACCTTACTAGTGTACCTGTTGCTCGAATTCGAGCAATTGCAAAGTATTACAGGCGTTATTTTAAAACGAATAACAGTCATAATTTCCGATGACTTTAAAATAGTCAACTCAAAGATTATTGAAGTACTCAAGGTGTACATAACAGTTCGATATAATCAACATTTCTTGTCATTTTATCATCTTATCATTTTTTTTGAACTTATCTTTGTTTTTAGTATTTTCTACAAATGTTTCCCATTCATGGTCGCATTAGATTGTCCATAATAACGATTGTAAATTTTTTTAAAAACATTAGTTATATTTCTTCTACTTCTTGGACTGGTGGTGTTCTAGGACTTTCCTATGTTTCCATAGTTTGCAAATCGGCTCTTTCCATTAATGATTGCTCAAAAAATGCAGCACAGTGTTAATTCAGTTTTCTTTTTAGTACTGTACCTGCTATATCAAATCGTCCAGGCTTTCGTACTCTTTTCCATTGTAATATTTACGCCAAACCAAATTCAAATATTCCATTTCAACCAAGCCAATAAATGTTTGTAGCGCACGTTTCCTTAAATTGCAGCTAAAATATTGAATTATCCAGCTGATCATATTGTAAACCAATATGTTTTTCATAAGGATAACATTAGAACTTAAACATCCACTTTCAAAAAATGTATATAATATGTGGGGTTAGATCTTAAAACAAAAAGCCTTATAACAAAAAGCCTTGAACAATTAAGAAATTGTTCACAAAGTTCCATGTAGCGTATTAGTAATATATATACTGTATGTATGTATATCCTTATATATAATACGTGAAGGTGATTTCTACGAAACACTACTCCTCCGTTAATACTTAATAATGGATGGATTTTTACAAACGATATGTCAAAATAAACTATTTTTTGTGTAGACGCCTCCAACCAATTCCTGTAGTAGAATTTCTCGGACATTGTCCCACAGGCCATCAAAATCCTAATGTATTTCTTATGAAGAACAGATTTTGTTTACTTAAACATACAAATAATTTGTTTTAATTACAGCTGTTCATAGTAAACACATGATACACACAAGAGAGTAGGGTTTCAGAGTGAGTTCGTGTTCAGTTTCGATAACTGGAGTGAAGAACTTGTGATTTATTACATTACCTTGGAGTTTACTCTTTTAGTACATTGGAAATTATTATTCGTTTTGAAAAATCGCCTGTAATACTTTGCAATTGCTTGAATTCGAGCAACAGGTGCACTAGTATATATGTATACTAAGATAGTCAATAAATTGATAAACACTGTGTAGACAGTCAGAAAAGCGACAGAAGACGTAAATATACTTCATTCACAGTTCACAGTTACTGTTTTAAAACCGTTAAAAAAATAGCTGTTACTAATCTGTGATATAATTCTAGTTAAATGACAGGTACAACTTTTTTCACTCTGACTTACCTCCATTAAAAGCACTAATGCTAGATTCAGTATACAGAACCATCTTGTCTGGATACTTATCGTGAAACTCTTTCAAGTTCTTCAGATTACTGTTGCTATCAAGGTAAAAGTGAATTGCAACACCTTCAATGTATTGCGCAACTTCAGGATCAGCAAACATCTAGTATAGCAAAAAACCAATCAACTGGTATATTACGTTATATCCTTTCTAAATCATTAAACTGACCCTTAAAAACTAAAGTTTTTTGTTTTTTTGTTCTGTGAAAATTCATTTCTAATAAGAAAATGTCATTTCTAATTAATTTAGAAAGTAACTCTATCCAATAAGAAAAAAATTTAGTTGTAAAAAGCTGTATTACAATAATTGCTGTAGGCCTATAACAATTTTAAAACATTTAGATTTAAACTTCATATTAAAACAATTTTAATATAAGATTGAATTCTAAACAATATTTAAATTGTTTACAATTACAATTGCGACGATATTTTCTGCACTGGGAAAATATAGTTAAAAGTGCAGCAGTCGCTACCGTTTGCCGGGGATAGCTCAGCCTACAATGGCTGGGTAAAATTCCAGGGTCTGCGATAAGGTCAGGGAAACCACTAGGCCAAAAGCCGGGTCTAACCGGTATAGGACTGGCTCATACACGGGCACTGTGAACAAGTCAAAAACAAGTCACCAAAACAAACGTGCAATAATCACTACCAGGCCTACGCCGATTCTCCACACTCCTAGGGGGTCGTTGCTGACTACGCAACTCGGGCTTCGTCCTAACTATCCAATAGTTAAGCCCAGAGTGCCTAAAACACGGTGAGTTACACGACGACTTGCCAATAAAAACCACAACGCGTGTTATCACCAGGCGGGGTCTACTAGGCCACTATAATCCAATACACAACTCTAATGCCCAAGCTAAGAATCAAACAGTTCACTCAATAATCGTACCACATAATAATATACAAGTACACTATAGGTAGAGTGACTACACCACTAGTAGCTGGTCTCAATAAATACCAAGCCAAACAAGCAAAATTAAATGGCAATTGCACTATTAAAATATTGAGCTACTTAGTAGCAGATAAATAAATATTAAATACGTTCCAAACACTAGATAAATATATTATCTGATAGCCGGTACTCCGCTATCCAAGCTACCAAGATAACGTGTTGGACTACCAAACAAGCTGTTCAGGTTAAATTAAAATAATCAAATGAATATACAATAACAACCCTACTACTGTTACTGCTACTACCAACGTTATATTGCTTAGCCGGGCTTCTGTTAATAAGCTAATAAAACTAGCTACTAGCCTACTGGCCTCGTGCTTCCAACTACGCACGCTAAATCGTGCAGCCTAGGTTTGTCGGGCCTCAGAGTTATTAGTAATATAACTAACTCTAGGTACAACGCAAAATAATATCTACTACAGTCAATTAAATTATATTATTTGCGCTCTAGCACCTGCCCAGAACCGTCAGGAATACACTTTAATATTATTCCTGACTAATATAAATCCTAACTACCGTCAGGCTTTGACCAGCACGGTTACAACTCTAACCCTCGCAATAAAATCAGATATTAATATTATCAACTCTTAAACCAAAATGTAAGGAACGTCGTCCACTCGCCAATAGTGGGTCTGTACCCAACTTACACCAACACTCGGCGCGATCACACCACCAACGTACTCCGACACCACTGTCACGTACACTCCTCTCTACGTACACCACACCGACGTTCCCCAGTCGTCCACAAGACACCACACTATCCTCACTGTCCGGGATCCACGACTCGAATGTCTTTTCTCGGCTATCCGGTAGTCCCAGGATACCCAAGCTTATCCGAACTGATAAGCCGGGTCAAAGGGCGCTAGCCAGGTTCGCCGCCGCCGCTTGCGTACCTCAACAATCGCACGGCCAAATAACGAAAATTTACCCCCCTAGGAATAATAACTCGTTACATCCCCCACTTACATCGGGATGAAAAAAAAAGAAAACGGCAAAAAGAAAAAAAAATCTTTGAACTCCGGCCAAAACAAAATACTCAAACACCTAACCCAATGGTGAGTCCTACACCACAGGTCTCAAACTCAAAATAAAGAAAAACTCTCGCTCTAACCACTACCAGCCAACATGTTGCTGAATGATTTGGCATCAGGAACCAGACGGGGATTTCCATTGCAAGGGCCTTCGGGGTCTTCGTCACCAATTTTGACACTGTCCATGCGGCCCCCTTGGCCAGAACAGTCATCACCCACGCCCATTGTTATCACCTCCGTCACGACCGTCACAAGTCCGAGATCTCGTATGACATCCATACCCAAAATCAAATCCGTGGTAAGAGTGGGAACGTACAAGGCGTCTCCAACCCACCGTCTTCCCGCAGCTTCTCCTGCCAATCGGAATGAATACTCGGCTCTAGACCGTGACCCATCTGCCATCCTTAGAGGAGCGGGTTTCTTAAAAGGCTCTACCCCCTGGCGTTGAAGATGATCGGCGACTTCTCGCCCAACCAGGCTAACTACGGACCCAGTGTCCAATAACGCCTTAAAAACGCTGCCCATCAGCACAACTTCAACAAAGGGCCTTGTCTCTGAAATCAGCCGGTTCTCGTCTACTCCACCAACCAGGCTGTTTAGTTTTCCGAGCCACTCGGACCACTCTTCTGAGGTCGTTCGTTTCGGGTGGCCTCGCTCAGTTGACCTCCTGATGTCTGAGCTAGCCTGCCATTTCCCGCCCGACATCCACACTGACTCACCGTCAAACCAGGTTCGCCACACCCATAACAGGAGACGGTCCTTGGTTTACCACATTCTCGGGCAAAGTGACCAATCTCCTGGCACCTAAAACATTTCACCGTCCCCTTTGGACCCTCAGGCGCTCTAGCTGCTGTCACGGTCCGTTGACCGTGGACCCGATTCGACTTCAAAGCTACCCGCCCACGCGACTCAGCTTCCGGAGATGGTCTCTCGAAACTCCGCTTCTCGACGGCGGCAGTTTCGGCGCGCTTCTCCACCTTCTTTTTGGGTGTGTAGGCGGTTTCCAAAACCAGCGCTACGTTCGGAGGAGGAGGAGGTCTAAAGGCCGCCTTCTCTCGCAGATAGGCCTCGTAGTCTTCGGCCAACTCAACCACCTCGGCCAGATTGCGGAAGTCCCGCCGTCGCACCATGAGTTTGTACTCAGGTCGCATGTTGTTGTAGATCAAGTCCAACCTACTATGCTCCGACAACGTACCACTACGCCTAAGCAAGGTACTTATGGCCACGACATAATCTCGGAAGTGTTCGCCTTCACCCTGTGTCCTTTTCCGGATCTCCTCATCCAAGTTCCTCCAATATCCTGGTGGGAAGAACTGGACCTCAAATTGATGCCGGAAAGCTTCAAAGGAATACAGGAGCTCCTTGCAATTCCTGTACCATAGAAGCGCTGAGCCTTGCAACAGCTCCGGCAGCGCTCTGAGCAGGTCCTCTGATGTTATAGAGTACGAGACCATCAGCTCTTCAAGGCGCTCCAGGAACGACACAGGGTCTCGTCGGCCATCAAACCTCAAACCCCACTTTCGGACCATGTCACATATCTTGGAGCAGTCCTTCGGCTCCACCCTGCTGGCCCCATTCGAGAGCATATCTGATCCACGTGGCACCTCAACACTAGAAGGACGGACTGGTCTCTCTGAATGATCACTAGGTCGTTGCCATCCCTCGGGTCTACTTGGTAACCCAAAGGTAGGCATGGGAGCAGCCACAACAGGAGACATAGGGTTGGCGGGTCTTTCGAACCCATAGCCGACCTCATTACTCGGCGAGCCCCTCGCCTGTCGCACCACCAATGCAAGTTGTTCTCTAAGAGTCCGGGTATCGGTCCCTAAAGACAACCCAAGGATCTCTTTAATCGCCTCTAACTCCCCGCTAAGCCTGAATATCTCTGTTTGGTCCGATTCAGTACTAACCAGTACCTGAGGTACGGTTCTCGGGGGGTCTGGATGCCCTATGGTTGTAGTAGCCGGCGGTACATATGTCGGTGCAGCAGCCCCAGCTGTACACAGCCTATCATCGCTGTACCGACGGGCATTCCGCTGCTTCCAAAACGACGAGAATCGCTGCCGTAATTCCGCAGAAGTACCAGTGGTCACCAAACCATACTGGTCCATCGTTCTTATGAGCTCCCCTTTCGAGAGGTCATAGATCCAACCCACGCAACTGTCCCGGGGCTGCGACCCCAAGGACATAGTCGCTGGCGCGGAATAGGTCAACGAAGTTGTCACCGTCGTAGCCACTACCGAAGAAATTGTCGGCCAAACGGGCGAAGACGCCGGCCACAACGACGATGTCGTCATCACCGACAGTTCGGAGCTAACCCCAGAACTAGTCGTAGCAATAGTAGACGTAATAGGCGTACCGCCCAGCACAGACGTCGTACTCGTAGTCACAACCATATTTAAAATCCAAATACCACGACTAATCCGCAAAAAAAAAACGAAACCAATTAAAATATATTTAACGCCGTTACAATAAATCAAACCAATTATAGGTGTGAAAGTCAAACCACAAATACACAATAAGGGTTCTCACTTAAATAATATTCGATGATAAAGCTCAATTAATTAGCAAAATAATAAATCAAACCAATTATGGGTGTGAAAGTCAAACCACAAATACACAATAAGGGTTCTCACTCAAATAATATTCAATGATAAGGCTCAATTAATTAGCAAAATTAAAATTACTAACTAATATCTATGTATACAACCACTAAATAAATTAGGGTTCACAACACACCACGCTGTAACAGAAAACAGGTTAGGCCTACCCAACCGACTATAAAATCACAGCAGGTCTGCCTAAAACTCTGCTCAACAGCTCAGGTCCGCAGCCAATCTGCACAAGTCCGCAGCAAATCTGCACAAATAAAATTATTTTGTTCGGGCGCCGTTAATACGTCAGCAACTCAGCACCACTGCCAACCTGCCAACCTCAGTCCCTGTTCGCAGGCGCCATCTTGCGACGATATTTTCTGCACTGGGAAAATATAGTTAAAAGTGCAGCAGTCGCTACCGTTTGCCGGGGATAGCTCAGCCTACAATGGCTGGGTAAAATTCCAGGGTCTGCGATAAGGTCAGGGAAACCACTAGGCCAAAAGCCGGGTCTAACCGGTATAGG